CCGATGTGGCGGGTCTCTGAGAGGGTTACGCCCCAATGAAAATCTTTTGGGTTTCATCTCCATAAGAGTGGCTGAGTTTTTACGTTGGCTCGCCAAGACTATCACAACCCTCCTCCTTTACCCGGGCTTGGGACCGGCTATGTTGAGACAATATATGCGGAGTTAAACGCGATAGATAAATCATGATAAACAAATTAAACATGAAGATCAAATGAACAAAAGTACTAGACATATAATCAAGCATGTATGATAAAGTACAATATCTAGATGTTTTTTTTGCAAAAACAAAATCTAGATAAATTGCTATTACAAAAATCTAGAAATAATACCTAACACCAGGGGTAAGAAGTAAGAACACATACGATCCTATGGAAGAAGATCCGGATGCATCAATAGCCATGTCAGCGAAGAGATTGTCGATGTCGGAGAAGTAGTTGTGTGCGACCACGTTAGAGAAGAAGCCCGCAGTCACGCAAGAGCGCTCCCTCAAAACCTGATCGCCTATCTCCAGTACAAGATTACAAGAAGCAGGCTCTATAAGGCCTGATGCTCCACTTCACGGTGCACGCCGTGAAGCAGAGTGGGAAAGACCCATATGGCGCAAAGCTTTGGAAGTGGGAGGTAGAGGCATAAGTTGTCGAATGGTAGTGTTTTATCTACGGACAAAGGCGTGGGTGGGACTAAACTTTTCGCACTTTCCTTGTCTATGCGATCTCATAGAAATTATTAAAAAAATATAAATGAGATATAATCCCAATAATTTCAACGTATCCATTCGCCACTAACTCATTGTCTCCCTCCTCCATCGTGATCTATGGCTGGTGTCAAGGCTGCCGCCTCATCCAACCTCACATTTAAGGGCTACTTGGTTTGAAGCCAAAACTTGCAAAGTTCAAACTTGCCAACATTTTGACAACTTTGACTAGTGTTTAGCTAGGAGAGTTGCCAAATTTGAAGCCCAACCAATCATGCCCATTTTTTAGAGTTGCCAAAAGTGAGCTTGGCCAATGCAGGCTCCAAAACAAGCAGGCTCTTAATCGACACTCCAAAAGCGACGGCCACCGCATGCATCATGAGTCACGAATTGAGAACCTTTGCCCCTCTCTTGTTAGTTGTCCATGGAGCTTTATGGTGACATTAGCGTAGAACGTGTACAACAAAAGGGAGCATGGCTGAGTAAACAAGAAGCAGCAAAGATGATCAGATTCAACATACCACCTGTTTTTTTTTTGGAAAGGAGAATTTTGATATATCTTTTTTGCGAGAAACTTCAATCTATTCATCTTCAATCACGGCAGTACAAAGAACAACAGACGTAATAAACATTACAACAATGTCCGTGGACCACCCAACGATAGAATATAAGCACTGGAGCGAGCCGAAGGCTCGCCACCGTCATTGCCCCTCCTTCACCGGAGCCAGGCAAACCTTGTTGTAGTAGACAGTTGGGAAGTCGTCGTGCTAAGGCCCCATAGGATCAGCGCACCAGAGTAGCAACCATCGCCGATGAAGAAAGTCGTAGATCAGAATGGTCGAACCTATAAACATTAAACGAAGGCAAACGGAGACCATATCCAAATAGATCCACTGAAGACCAGCACCGACCGAATCCCGCAAGATCCGATGGAGACAAACCTCCACACGCCCTCCGACGATGCTAGACGCACCATCGGGACGGGGATAGAATGTGGGAGACATTATTCTTACTACTCCCTCCATTTCCTTATACAAGGCCACTATGAAAAATACATTTTGCATCTATACAAGGCCACTAACAGTAATTGAAGCAAAATTTAATGATGTTTTCTCGTATTACCAACTTGTTTAATACTTGCATGCATGTAGTCATAATGACATTGTGCTACTTCCTTCTCATTTCTTCCTTGCATGCATGCATGCGTATTAATAATCCCGGTTAACAAGAAGAAAAGTTGGTTCGCAAAGCAATCATTAAATTTTACTTTGGTACCTGTAATTTGAGTTTATGGCCTTATATAAGGGAATGGAGGGAGTAAGGGACATCGCCGCCACCACACAGCCCCAACC